ATGTTTTCTGTATTTTTCACGAACTCGCAGTACATCATAAAGGCCTGAAGTGGATGGAGCCAAAACAGGGGCCATTTGCATGCGTTAAGTGGATAACCACCTTAAAACCAGCAAGACAGCCAACGTGAATCTCACCAAGAGATGAGCTTAGGCCATCTGTATCTCAAGGTCATCTGTATGTCAAGTTCCCAATGCATCCGTCTGGAAACCAGTTACTTGTTTCGGAACCAGTAAACATCCAGGAGCCAGTCTAGAATAAAGCCGTGGGAGCAAACAAGAACCAACACCCAGCCTCATATGAAAACAAAAGCTTCGTCCGGAACCAAGGTCCGGCCTGCCAATAAGTTAGAACATCCAACAAAAATCACGATTCGCCTGATGCCTGGCTGAGGGAACCGGTAAAAACCAAGGTCCAGTCCGGTATCTCGAAATATCCAGCAATAACTAAGATCCAGTGTACTATTATGTCAAAAGATCCAGCAAGAAAATCCAGTCTGGATCAAGCTGGAATCCAGCAATGGCCAAGCTTAGTTTGGAGCAACGTCAATGTAAGCAGCGAAACACAAATTTTGCCCGAGATTCTTGTCAGCCTTGATTACTTAGGTTCAAAAAATTGCTACTCAGGGACACAGTTTTTCAAAGTAACTGGGGAGGCCGAGTGAAGAAACAGGCTAAACCTACTCCCGAAATACGTAAAGAAACATATGTCTCCTCAAGTTTGACCCACTGATTGAAGTTGGCAGGGCTGGGACCACCGAAATAAATATGAAACTAAACCTTTGCCGTTTCTTACAGTTCATACATGGTACAAGGTACATTAACCATTTCAGAAATATATTCTAAAGTTCAGCCTTTCGTTGCAACCCTGCCTCAGTGAGATCTTACCAAGATCTGCCCCAGCTTGCAGAATGGGACAAAGGGAATGCACGTCTGCGACTTTAGCCATTTCCTGCATGCATGCAATTTTATAGCGATTGTTTCAGCATCTAATTTTGGTACCCGCAACACAAGCTCTGCACCAGGGCTGGCTAGTGAAACGTATCAGACATAGAAAATTGCTGCTCCGACACAATAGTCTCAGATTTATCGAAATCATCGTTTCTACTACACAATAGACCTGTCAATAAGCCGTACTTTTTACGGCTGACTTTGGGCTGCTTTCCGAACCAATTATTTCCTCACAAGCCCCAAGCATAGGTGGCCGCATGCTTCCACTGCTCCGTCTTAGCGACGAGACCACAATGAACGTACTTAAACGCACAAAACAATCCCGTTATTTGGCTCAGGTTCTAATAGCTGATCAGTTCCGACATGTATCAGTTCTACCCAAGGTAGTGAAAACACTTGGAAGCACCGAGCCGAACGGACAACACATGTCTCGGGGATGTCCTTGGTCAGCTGATTTCTTCCGATGACCATTTTGGAAATGAAGTGCTTTATAGACTATTATATTCGTGTATAAAAGTTATTGCTACCAAAATCTAATCAACAAAGAGTATTAAGGTCTGCAGTGAAATAAGCTTGCCGTTGTTGCAGCTTGTAAGTTGACTTTGCCACCTAACGGGTTGCTTATATTTGCTCCGATGCTGTATGTTCGTGGGCGGGGAATCAAGGAACACTGACGAGTTAACCCAATCCGCACTGCTGGCATCATCCTGGTTCTGTCTGTATCTCATTTCGGACGTATATTTCATCTCTTATACGGCTTTGATGTATGACGCATTCAGGTGCCTGTATATAAAACGCGGACATGGACTCTTCTTGAGTCGATAATAGCTAGAACGCTATTGGATGGGAACTTAAAAGTTTAACTGTCAAGGAGAACATGGGCACAAAACAGACTGATTCTTCACAGCTTCTCACTGTTTGTTGACATCGGACGGGAGGGACAATGGAAATTCTCTCAGTTTAGGGGGGGGGGGGCGGGGGCGGATCCGTTTTAGTTATTTCCTTTCAGTCAGCGGCAAGTCAACATTGGCAGTTCAGTCCACATTGACCCTGTAAGGGTAGGAAAATGCTTTAAGGACCACCTTGGATGGGACCAATGATCAAGTCATGGAAATGTTGGAAAAATTGAGGTATTGCAGTGTTTGTATTACCTAAGCTAGCGGGGTATTGCGAGATACCAATGCGGTTGATAAGAACATCCCAACGCACCAGACCAGTGTGGAGTAGTTCAATACCATGTTAGTAATTTTCATACAGGTACAGCTCATTCGCAATCCGGAATTAAATCCATTTGAAGTAGCCAAATAGTCCGTCCAGTTGGGTTTAGAGAAGTGTTCGCATTCGCATTCGCCATCGCATAGAGTTCAAGGGTGAAATTGCCCAAACCACTTGCTTTATTTGGGGACTATGTTCGATAGACATATTTGTATGGATCAGGAGCAAGTTTGCAGCTTCGAGTATGGTGTATTTTGTATGATATCATCATGGCCGCACTGTACACAGCCAACTAAATCAATGCATGTCTACGTTACAGAAGTTATGTCTCACCGTATATACTGCTCCATAAAATGTGAATGTCCTGATGCTCAGAATCTTTTTAAAAGTGCTGCTCCCAGCACCATTATCATTATGTGTTATGGTATGGAGAGGAAGAGCAAATAGCATATGTTTAGCTTGCAATCAGTAAACAACAGAGAAAATAAGAATTTTCATCTATGTGTATGTCATTTCTACTAACAATCTTCTATTTTCTACTAGTCATCCCTAGAAAGCGGATGTTGCGTTATAATGCCTTATTCTTTTTCAGTTCGAGTCGCTTCAGGCGCTCGCTATTTGCTCTCCTTGACGGGTATGGCATGCGGCCGCGATAAAGGTCAGCTGGCGGCCGAGGGTGGGGCGGACTTTGCCGAGCATTGCAGCACGTTAAGCTTTCGCCACCAAATTGTGCCGTCGACCTGTAATCGCGCGATTGGATGGTACGGGTAAAGGCTCACACAACAAACATTGCGTAGCGTGAGCTCTGATTCCAGAAATCCCAAATGCCCATACCCTCGCCAATACCCGTATATATATATATATATATATATATATATATATATATATATATATATATAAAGATGCATATAATGCCATCCCAATCTATATATGCGTATATATGCAGATTTGGGTCTCAGGAATTACGACGCACAGGTCAGGACAGGTCAACTGCAGATAAGACACGCCGCATACACAATATGATAGGTATAGGAAGCGAGCTGAATCTTGTCATTTTCTGTACATGCAACGCTTTGCAGGATGCGGGATGTGATGAAGGAGGAGCTTTAGTTCTGCAGTTTGACAGCCTGAAACATGGCCAGATGGTAACCATTTAATACATGACATGATGCAAACATTTCCCACATTTAATATGGAAAATGTGACACATGCTTTGCTAAGAGTGTATACACTGATTTCAGCAACCGGAAACAAAAGTTATTTCATGACGGTATGCCTGCCATGCGCGCCTCCTAAGGGCAAGATTGTTTGCTAGAGCAATCCAGCCATCAAGAACCATGGCAAATTGATACGCATGACATGTTTTATGTGAAAACTTATTTCAGTCAAACAATCAAGATCAATCTCACGAATCAAGCTTGTACCAACTCTGGGCGATGAATACTGGCGAAGTTGTGCCATTCATATGTCAAACCGATTCTGAACGTCAGCAAATTTCAGTTTTACCTACCGGTGCTCCACCGGCTCTACCAGTACTCACATTGTTCAACGGATTGTTGACGGAATAGGAAAAACCGGGGTTCGGTTGGATAAATGCCTACTTGCTGAATCCCCCCCCCCCCCCGAACATGCCGTTTAACAATTTTGTAAGAGTACCAGTCACCCAAAAACCAAACTATTCTCGTGTGCATCGCTATCAATTCAAGGTACGAATAAACCTAGGAGGGAAATAGGTTCTGAAATTCAAAACGAATATTTGGTGATGAGTGCCAACATAGGCTACAGAAAACAAAGCATCCCAACTGTAGGTGAATCAAACATTGCAGCGTGGATGGTGACGGGGAATAAGCGCCTTAAACCCCATCCACCAATGTGAGCCCGTGATAGAGCGCTTTCACCAAATAAATTTTTCACTATCAACATAAATTTGCAAAATAACTTATAAAGAGACCCCGTGACCACTCTTTTATTAGCCAACAACAGCCAAAGCCGGCAGTCCAAAAAGGAACGCATGACGTAAATGCAAGAAGGGTAATACCACGAGAAGGAAATGTCAACCCAGTGAACATGGCGGTGGAGGTTATAAATTTTGAAGGCGGCAAACAAGGCTTTGATGCAGGGCTGATAGATCCCAATGCCGGACAGCGTATTCAACAGGTAAAGTGAGGTGGACATGTTGATTTCCCAATACTGTGGATGACAGTGAGTATATGATGTATCTGATACAAAGCCAACAGCGTGGATTATTTTAACCGACCTCCTGCAACTATTCAAAATAATCTAGCTTTATAAACTTCTAAAGCAAGCTACGGCAAAATTGATGAACTGGGCACTGATAACTATGGGAAGATGACAAGAGCGAAGTGAAGGGATGGTAGTCTTTTTTACAACGATGGGTGTGATGGGTCACAAACTATTTTCCCAATATGCGTGACAGGCAACGATATATTATAATTTGTGAAGACCTTTGACTTAATCAAGGACCCCAAAATGTGCGCCAAGTAATGGTCCAAATAGCTTGCAGAGACAAGGTCGACGCATCGGCGTTTGCACGCGCTTTGCAGGACGTAGCGGAGCGTAAGCACCAGGAAGGAGAGCCGCGGCGTAGCTCGTTCCCAACGCCAGCGACCGAGTGGCTGCGATCATAGCGATTATTGTCCATAAGCGCCAGAAAACTTATGGGCAGTTTTCGGCGGGCTCGGTCCAGTTCCAGGGCCGTGAACATAAACTCACGTGACGTCGCGTGTCAGCGAGCCGCCGTCTGACACGTCCGTCCATAAAGGGGACGCCCGAATCAAAACTGGCCCAGTTCAGCCGTTCGCCGCTTGACAGTGAGGACTGGCTCGCGGTGGGCCCTCTCCGCAGCGGTTAGCGAATTTTCAAACATGGTGATGCCCTGGTGGCTGCTGCTCATCTTTCTGAAGCATTCATCGAAAGTGACACCCGACTCCTTCAGCTACTCAAACGCGGACGAGTGGAAGGATGCCTTCCCGATGTGCGGCGGCCCGATGCAGTCGCCGATTTCACTGAAGCCCAACCGCCTGACACTCAGCAGGACGCCGAAACTGAAGTTCGCCGACGGTCTGGAGGACGGAGAGATCGAGGCTGTCAACACCGGCCGAGAAATCAAGCTGAAATTGCGCCCCAGAAACCGCGACGAGCCTTTGGTGCAGCTTATCTCCTTCAGCAAGCCGATGGTGGGCGTCTACACCCTTGCCCAGATGCACTTCCACTGGGGACCTGAACCACGCAGCCCCGGCTCGGAGCACGCTATCTCCGACAAGTTCACCGACGCTGAGGCTCACTTTGTCTTCTTCAACAACCGCTACGGCAATTTCAAGGAGGCCGTGCGCCACTTCGACGGTCTGCTGGTACTGGGCGTGATGCTGCACGGCTCGGATGATGAACAGCAGTTTATGTTCCCTACGCTGGGCATGGAGACCCAGCTGGACTCTATCTCAGTGCCGGGCCGGCGACTGATCATCAACTCCGACCTGAACAGCTTCCGCACGCTTCTGCGCCGTGCAGTCAGCAAGTTCTTCAGCTACCACGGCAGTCTGACCACGCCGCCCTGCAACCCTGTGGTCTCCTGGATGGTGTCAGCCAAGACAATTCCTGTCAGCAATGCGTTTCTCAATAACGTGCGCACGAAAATCTACGAGGATGAAAGCAAGAAGGGGCTTCTCGTGAAAAACCGCAGACCGGTCCAGCCTCAGCTGGGCCGCGTGGTAACTCAGCACATCAGCATCGGATAAGCGACCGTGCAAGTGAAACGGGCCTCAAGCAGTGCAATGAGTTGACCATAACCGTGATATGAACAGAAAGCGACGCAAGACGTTCGTCTCCTGGTTTGATGACAAAGCCGTCGTTTGGAGAATCTTGTCAAATTCGCGTGGCTCAACGGGGCAATATTTGGTTTGGGAGTGTTTTGATGCATGTGGAAATGCGACCAATGATTCGCTTGATATGTGCATGGCATGGTGTAATACGAACGACGTAGACGCGAAAGTCTTACCATTGATCATATCGAATTTTTAAGTGGAGTGTTGTAAAGTACCAGCGTGTGTTGTTGTTGAAATGTACAAATGGCATCGAGAGCTCTGGAAATATCATGTCGAAATATCGCCCTGTCATCTTTGTCATATCATGCTGATCATAGTGCGCTGGCCGCCACACTGTAAATACATGACGAGAGACGTGATCAGCCGGCTTAACGGGAGGATGGAACAACGACTGGGAAAGCCTGAACATGACTGATCCCGCTCCGGGCCAGCTGACCACTTACGCTCCATCCAGAGTGATGACGGTTCAGCTGTAAAAGCATTCAGATGTACGGTAAAACGCGGCATGGTGTTGGCGATGCGACCACCAGGTCGAGTATTAAGATCCACGATCTGTGAATCCTGAAGGGACCTTTAGGGGCTGTCAGCGAATTAGCTACACAGGTACGCAGTCATAGATCACATAGTTGTCAAAGGCTTACCATTGTTCCACACGTCTTCCAAGAGGTCTTCTGTATAAGCTTTCCCATATAAAAGACGGCGGGGAAGAGTGAAGGAGCAAAAATGCAACACTCAGCATGATGTTTTGTAAACATCTCAGACCTATCGTACAATCGCACCCATCTGTTTGCAGCCTATCAGAACATTCATTGCTGGTGTGTTGATACGGCTGAAGGGTCTCTAACCTTTTCGGGCTTTTGAGAGGAGGCATGTAAGGAACACGGCACGTTAGATATTCAAGACGCGCAGGCGTCAGTGCCGAATAGCCTAACAAATCTCAGCCGCGTACTAGAACAACGAACTGACGATCTGAAACAACTCTGATCACTGATCGACTTTTCACGTCGTATGCGCAATATCAGAACTTTGCGAGGCGAAATGCGCGTTTGTATTTGATGACTCCAACGTTCGCCGAGCGGTCCATGGTCGCGTGCGGCGCCGCAGTTCAGCGGCCGGTGACCGAGGACTGTGCCGATCACGTGGGACGGGGTGACGCTGTGATATCCGTGAGCGCTGCCAAGGGCGAATAACGGAAGCTCATGGGGGTTCGGCCCAACCCCCTCTCCGTCATAATCGAGTACGGTCTGCTCGCCACGGGATTACTAATATACAAAGTGGCCAAGATAAAGATCAGTCCACCTTTTCCTCAGCGGCAACATGTACATTTTAGCAAGATTATGATTGAGTGGAGTTGAAGTGTCAATTCAACTGGACAGCACGATCACCATCAGCGATTCTACACCCATCAAACTGTGACCACAAAAGTTCGTCCTTCATGAGCGCCCAGGTCAAAGGTCGCGACCCTCGCTCCCTCGCTGACCGAGACCGTAATCAGCCGTGCCTGGCCGTGTGCTGGACCGGTCCATAGCGGGAGGCGTGACAGCTCGCGAATGGTAGCGGGGTGCACGAGTGACAGGCGAGTGACGGGTCGAAAGAAGACGTGAGGGAGGACGTGTGCTAAAGCCAAGTGAAAGAATATCAGGGCTCTAACACAAGCGTCTACGAAGCGAACTCTTCTCGCCTGCTTCAGCGACAATTAAGTCCATAAATCTCTGCGTAACACATTCAATGATGAGTTGAGCCTTGTAATACATTCAGGGAGCTAAAAGAAAAACACGTACATAGCAAGAAACGATCCGAACCCAGTCGCAAGCTGTCGACGATTCTGAGCAGTACCCTGCACGGAACAACCTCAATTTCAACGGGGAGGTTGAGAATGAAAGTGAAAATCCTGTGCGTCTAGCCATTGACATAGTCAGGACTATGTGACTCCAACTGCAGCCAGACCACATCGACCGCGCTTGTCGGCCTTTCCCGGACGGCGGCAGTCGCGGTCTCACACTGATCATCAAGCTCGTGTCTACACAAAACGGGAGGAGGTCTGGAGCGTCCGTTGGGAGCTCTTGACAGGCCACCCGACCCGCCTACCCAGGCGGGCCTCATTGACTCCAGGCTTGAGGCAATAGAACGCTGGGCACTTCAAAGTTTTTCATAGTGGGCATCAAAGCGTGCTATAAGGTTACCAGGGTCAGGATTAAACGGAATGTTTCACGTTTTAACATACTGAAGCAAGCACCAGACATGATGAGACAAGCTCAGTTATAACTACTGGTATGCTTTGAAATTGGAAAACGACCACTCTGAACAACGCATTTTCTCTATTTAGTAAATATGCTCCACGATATGCCACCATTTGATGACGTCATCGTGCCTTACACAACAATGATTAAGACCCAACTGACGGCTGTTGTATCGGGAAATCGCGCGCACGCATGTCAGATATGAACGACCCGACCATTACATTTTTATAACCCTTGAGCGCCGCATGACTTGTAGAATGACAGGACTTGAATGACTTATTAAGACGTCATGAATGCCAAGGTGACCTCGAGATACCCTCCCTGAAAAAGTCTCCCCATCTTCGTGAACATGTATCTCTACTGTTAGCTACTAGAGGGGTTTGGGTCTTAAGAAGGAAAGGTCTAGGACATTGTGGGATCTACAGCGACTCAGAAAGGACGTGCGCTGGAGGCTGTCGGTGATATCATCAGTCAGTGGATTCTTTCGATTGCGTTTGAGATTGTTTTTTTTCGAGTGTCTACTTTTTTCCATTGCTCATTGACAGACTAATACAATTTTCCAAATCTAGATGTGGGTTAGGGATGGGAAATAGCGCTAACAGTATGAATGGAGATGTGGAAGTGCATAGTCGGCCTGGGAAGCGATCCCGGGCTGAAGATGTGGTGGAGAACTTCTGGAATGACGTCGTGGACCGCAATGCCGGTTTACACCTGAGAATAACCTTGAAATGTGGAAAGTCTATGAGATCGAAGGGATGGTCATGGATTCAGGCAGGACTTAGGAATATTATTGGTACACAGACCAAAGTAGAGAAGGCAAGCCTCCTACGGGACGGAAGCCTTTTGATTAAAAAAAAAACAGAACCAAACTGAAAAGCTTCTGAAGGCATCATCACCCGTGAGAGAGGAATGTCGGGTGTGCCGTGACCCCAAACTAAACATTAGCAAAGGCACTATACATGGCTATGACGTAGTGGACCTCACTGAGGATGGGATCGTTCACTGGTTTAAGGAGCTTGGTGTGGTGGGAGCAAAGAAGTCTGCGAAAAAGGTGGGAGAAAGGGTTGAGAATATCCCCACCATACTTCTCACATTTGGTGTACCAACTTGTCCCCCACAACTTGAAGTGAACTACATAACTTATCATGTCAAAAAGCATGTGCCCAACCCATTAATTTGCTACAAACGTGGGAAATATGGGCACCATGAGGGAAGGTGCACAAATGACCGAACATGTCTGAAGTGTGGTGAGCGTGTGCATGAGGGTAAATGTGAGGCAAAGTGCATGAGTTGTAATGCGGCAGTGTACACTTGTCTGTCACATGAGTGTTCTGTGTGGATCAAAGAAAAAGACATATGTACCCTAAAAGTCGAACATGAAATCCCCTATGCGGAGGCTAGGAAACGGTATAATGCTAGTCACCAACCCTCTGCTCGAATGGCATAATCCACTGTGACATGTGCCCCAAACGAAGGAAGGAGAGGAATTGAAGCAGAACGTGGAAACATTGTAGAAAAAGATAGATGAGATGACAGCAATACTTGCAAAGATGCAAAACAACTTCATTCAGACAAGGAAGCAACCATTTCACATGATGAACAGTCAGCAAACTGAAGCAGACAGGAAGATACATGATGAGTCCATGAGTAAGGAGGTGGTACATATAAATGAGGTCACAACATGTGGTGAAAGTGAGCAAGTGACAAAGAAGAAAGAAGACCATGAGGCAGACCAGGAGGACACATGGAAGAAAGTCAAAGGTAAGAACAAGACCAAGAGGCAGACCAGGAGGACACATGGAAGAAAGTCAAAGGTAAGAACAAGACCAAGAGCAAGGAAGGTAAGAGACATGAGATGGATATCAATGGCACAAATGATGAATATTTAGCTTCCCCAAGCATTGGAAGGAGGGGTAGATCCCTGAAGGAAATTCGTGGAATATATACTACCAAAAGGTCATGGGAGGAGGGGACATAAATTTCCATTGATAGTTGTAATGACTTATGATTTTTTGTACCCTTGAGATGATGCTGTAATTTGTGATGTTGATGGTGGCGATGAGATGATGGGCATTGCTGTTGTTGTGTTGTTATTTTTTTTTGGCTTGGTTTGGGCTTAGGGCAGGATGACCTGTGATGTGCTTGTGTTATTTAGCATGGCCCCAAGCATTTTGCAGTGGAATTGCACAGGAGTTCTTTCGAAATGACCAGAAGTTAAACCAGTGCTCCCAAAGAAAGATTTCAGCGTTATCCGCCTTCAAGAAACCCATTTCTTTCTACTGACAGGTATGATTTTCGGATGACTTATTATACGCTATACGGTGGTTATGGAAACATAAATGGAAGGCAAGGAATGGTTTGTATATATGTTACCAACAATTATCCACATTTCCAAATAAATGTGAATGCTCTACTACAGGCTGTGGTTTGTTCAGGGAAGGTTGGTAGGACGTGGTTATGTGTGCACTCACTCTATTTACCCCCCAGTGAAACAGTAACGTTACCTGATTTAGATCATTCAATTTCTGAGTTACCCCAGCCGTTTATCCTATGCTAAGATGTCAACAGTCGACATTACATATGGGGCGCAGACCGATGCGATCAAAGAGGTATACTGTGGGAGCATGCGATACGACAACATGCATTGCGCATTTTGAACGATGGATGTCCAAGAAGAATGGATGATTATACTGGTCTTTGGTCACACAGATATAACCCTCTCATCCAGTAGTATAGATCAGTATATGACATGGTGTACTGACAATGAACTGCCTGTAGTGATCACTGTCCAGTGTATATTACGTTCGAAATTGATCAAACAACGGAACTTAAGCGCACACATTTCATGGGTGGAACGTGAACAAAGCAAAATGGACAGAATTTACAGCCAAATGAGATATGTCATTTGATGAAACGGCTGGTATCGACAACCTTGCGACCATGACTGAGACTATAGTCAGAGTGGCAGAGGAAACCATTCCTCAGAAAAACGGGAAAACAAAATATAACTGCCCTTGGTGGAACGAAGAGTGCAAAGACACTGTTCGAAATTGTAAAAGGGCACTTAACCGATTTAGACGGAGTCGACAGACTGTCCACCTAAAGGAA